TAAATGACATATCTGACAAGGGGTTAACATCCATAATACATAAAGAACTTACATGCCTCAACACCCAAAAGCAAATAAGCCAATTAACAAATGGGCAGAGGATATGAAGAGACAATTCTCCAAAGAAGAAATTCAGATGGCCAACAGACACATGAAAAGATGCTCCACATCACTAATCATCAGGAAAATACAAATTAAAACCACAATGAGATATCACCTCACAACCCTAAGGATGGCCAGCATCGAAAAGACTAAGAACAACAAATGCTGGTGAGGATGCAGAGAAAGGGGAACCCTCCTACACTGCTGGTGGGAATGTAAGCTAGTTCGACCTTTGTGGAAAGCAATATGGAGGTTCCTCAGAACACTAAAAATAGAAATGCCATTTGACCCAGGAATCCCACTCCTTGGAATTTACCCAAAGAATACAACTTCTCAGATTCAAAAAGACATGTGCACCCCTGTGTTTATCGCAGCATTTTTTACAATAGCCAAGATATGGAAGCAACCTAAGTGTCCATCAGTAGATGAATGGATAAAGAAGAGGTGGTACATATACACAATGGAATACTATTCAGCCATAAGAGAGAAACAAATCCTACCATTTGCAACAACATGTATGGAGCTGGAGGATATTAAGCTTAGTAAAATAAGCCAGACAGAGAAAGAAAAGTGCTAAATGATTTCCCTCATTTGTGGAGCATAACAACGAAGCAAGACTGAAGGAACAAAATAGCAGCAGACTCACAGACTCCAAGAAGGGACTAGTGGTTACCAAAGGGGAGGGTTGTGGAAGGGCGGGTGGGGAGGGAAGGAGATGGGGATTGAGGGGTATTATGTTTAGTACACATGGTGTGGGGAATCACAGGGAAAACAGTGTAGCAGAGAGAAGGCAAACAGTGAATCTGTGGCATCTTACTGCACTGATGGAACACACACATTATTTTTTCATGTGTAACCTTCATAAGAGTGTGTATCAATAATACCTTAATAAAATTTTTTAAAAAATACTTTGTAGATGTAATTCCAATTACAATCATTTGACTTTAGTAAACAACATTATCCTGGATAATTTGGGTAGGCCTCATCCATTCAGTTGAAAGGTTTGAAGAACAAAACCAATACTTCATGGTATCATTGGTAAGTGGAATCGAAAATTAAAGGTTGAACTCATTAAAGGAAACAGTAGAATGGTGATTGACATGAGCTAGAAGGTATGGGAAATGGACAGATTTTGATACAGACTTTTGGCTAGAAGTTAAGTTCTGAGGATCTAATGCATAGCATGATGACTGTTGTTGATAGTACTGAATTGCATAAATGAAATTTGCTAAGAGAGTAGATCTTAAGCATTTTCACCAAAAAAAAAAATTGTTTTTTATTTAACTATGTGAGATGGTGGATGTGTTAAACTTGACTGTGGAAATTCTTTTGCAATGTATACATATATCAAATCACCACATTGTACATTTTAAATACCTTACAACTTTGTTGCCTATATGTCACTAAAACTGGAAGAAATATTTTAGAAAAGAAAATGAAGTTACTAAAAGTATAAATTTCAATTACCTAATAAATTAATTTGCAGAAGGGAAAAAAGACCAAAACATGTTTCCCTGAGGAAGAAATTCCACCTATTGACTGCAGCACCCCCTTCTGCCTAGGGTTTCCAGGCTGCCAACCTGCCCTACAGATTTCAGATTTGTCTCAGTAGCTTCCATGGTTGCATAGCCAATTCTTTTCAATAAATCTTTCTGTGTGTATGTATATCTCCTACTGGTTCTTTCTGTGGTAGACTCTGACTGATACAGCAAGTAACTTTCTTTACTCATGTAACTGAACAAGTAAAGGTTAGGTATTAATTCCCTCCCTACTTTCCATACAAACTAACCTATACCTTCACTCATCTTTATTTTCTTCCTTTCTTTCTTAAAGTTTCCTACTCTGAAAAAAGTCCTCCCCATACTCTTCTCAGACCTTCTTCCATCAATTATCTCTTCTTTCCTGAATCTCACCTTCTTCCTCTACTCCTTCTTTTCATCATAAAAACATGTTCATATTTCTCTTGTCTAGAAAAAGAAAAACAAAACCCTCCTTCCTTACATTCATTCTTCCATAACTATGATTTACTAGCTTATTTTCTGGCTATCAAACATCTTGAAATATCAACTCTTGCTGCCTGTATTTCCTCACTTTCCATTCATTCCTCAATCAGTTGGATCCCGGCTCCAGCTTTCCCAAAATCTACTGAAACTTTGTCAAAGTAATTAATGACCTTCTGATTGCCAAAGTCAAGGAAACTGAAGCCATCCTTTTATTGACTTAAATTTCTGTCTTTCCTTTGAGTGTATCCCTCCTGATCCCCTTTACTTCCCAGATGATTGCTTTTTCTATTTCTTTAACTGATTCCTCTTCTTTGGAGCAACCATCAAAAGTTAGTATTACCCAATATAGCCATAGTTTTCCTGGGTGATGTCTATGCCCATCACTTCAACTTCATTGTCTATGTGCTGCTGAGTCCTGGATCTAAGCCTTACCTCAAACCTACATCAAAGCTTTATTCCCAAATATCCCTCTGCCAAATGTTGTATCTCAACCAGGATATACCACAAATACAACACAAAATTCCTCGGCTCCAAAAACTAGTTAATGTTTCCTTGTGAAGTCCCCAACTCAGAGATAATCCTCTCTTCCTAGTTGCCCATGCTACAGACATGATAATACTTCTAGACTCCCTTCCTTTACTACCCCACGCATTTCAGTTATCAAGTTCTTCTGAGTCTACCTTCCCCTTGAAATCTCTCAAATTCTTCCCTTTGCTCTCTTCCTCATGTTATTGCCTTTATACAGACATTCATCATTTCTGATCTAGACTTAGTTTCTTAACTATTTTCTTATCTTGTCCTGCTGTACCTTCACTCCATTTTCCCCACTTATGTCAGAAAAATGATTTTCTCATAAATCTTATCAATCTCCTGGGCAAGATTTTGGTTCAGTGGCTTCCTGTAGCCTCTAAGATAAAGTTTAAATAGTTTAGCAGAACATTCATGGTGCCTGCCTTTCCATGAGGCTTCATCTTTTGCCCAATTGTACTTTGCATTTTTTATACTGAACAACTTGTAATTTTCATATCTTCATATTTCTGCATAAGCTGGGCACTGAGCCCAGTACTGCTCCCCACATACACACACATTCACACATATATGTACACACCTTCCTTCACAAAATCTTCCTTGACATCTCCAGAGAAAGTTGCCCCTTCTTTGGGCAACTTTAGTTTTCTACAAAACACACCTTTATTATAGTACCAATAAAACCATTTGGCTAGAGGATATTCCTGGCACTTACCAGGGAATGTTTATAAATGTGTGAATAGTTCAATTTGGCAATTTTAAAACTTCATTTTTTAAAGAAAGAAAATATTTCTTTAAACAAAATCTTCTGCAAAAGCCCAATATGTGGACTAGACAAAAGCCAGGGGTGACATCACTTAGCCCACTTCTGCTGTGGCTGCCTCTTAGGTGTGGCGATGCTTCACTGTGCATGGGTAGTGAAAACCACTGGCTTAAAGACTGTCCTAAAGGTGCCCAGGTATCTGATTTATCAAAAGTCTACCAGAGTCAGCCATAAAAAGGACTTAAGTACTCCTGCATTCTACAACATGGATGAACCTTAAAAACATTATGTTAAGTGGAAGAAGTTAGACACAAAAGGCCACATTATTGTATGATTCCATCTATATGAAATGGCCAGAACAGGCAAATTCATAGAGAGAGAAAGGAGTGATTCCCAGGGGCTGGGAGGGAGGAGAATTGAGGTGACTACTTAACAGGTATAGGTTTCTTTTTGAGGTGATGAAAGCATTCTGGAATTAGATTGGTGATGGATGCACAATCTATCATTATAAAAGCCACTGAAATGGCATACTGAAAAAGGCTGAATTTGATGTTATGTGGTTTATACCTCAACAAAAAATTAATTATAGTAACAATATGCCATTCAATGGAATTGATTGAAATAAAGGAATTGTCATAAAAACATGCTAGTTATGATTTTGTCTCTATTGTGCTAATTTTTAAAATAAAATTACATGTACATGCTATTATCTTTGTCCAATTGGGAAGAAACACGACTCTTGCATTCCCTGTGATATGAATAAATCTTTTGGGAGCAATGAGTAATTCCCCCCATGCCACTGCTACCACCAAAAAAAAAAAAAAAAGAAAAGGTCAAAATTTTAGGACTGGGGACTAGAGTTCAAAGAACTATTTCAAAGCAATTTTATATCCTTGATGAATCTATCCAGTCATTCTAATGCTTTCCCTGAACACTAGCCAACCCCTTATGTTCATGGAAACTGACAGCGGAAATCGTCCTTCCTCGGAATGCCCTTTGTTGATGATGGTATTGACAGAGTAGAAGCTGTTGAGGAGGTGGTGGCTTCCTAAGGAAAGAACTCCAATTCTGAGAGAACTAGCAAGGACACCAGGGCTTATGGGTAAAGATGGGGAGGAACTAGGCTGGGGTAATTGGCAGATAATTGGCACAAACTTAGGCTACACTTCAGGAGTCAGATGGATTCTGGGAAAGAACAAAGGACAATGGCTCAAGCCATCTACATATAGCAGGTGGATCAAGGTCGAGAGAGTAGGGTGACAGCATGTTGGTGGAGAGGCACTATCTCAAGGGGAGGGAGAAAAAGGCTGGAGAGTGGAACATCTTGGGTTTTGGAGATAAGCCCCAACTCAGCCTTACCCTGAGCCTCAAAACTCCAGTTTGTGTAAATACTCATAGGACCTATCCTTGGAAAAAAAAGTTAGTGCAAGCCAATATCTTATCAGCTCTTGATAAATTAGGGAGCAAAGCTCAGGACTTTACACCTCTCTCCCTCTTCCTCCCACTATTCCCCAGAGTGATGTCCAACAGATAGCTAGAAATGAGATTTGCACATCCATACCTAGAGTCAGGAAGCGGATCCAAGCTGCAGACACCCACATACATACTAGCTTTAGCCACATTCTTTTATTTTTTTGTACTGAGCCATGTGGGGTTAGTGGTAAGGGGGCTGTCACACCCTCACGGCAGTGCCCTGTTGAGGAGGCGGGGCTCAGCAGCTGCTGCAGTCACTGGGGTAGACGTCCCAGTGCAGGCCAATGGCATTGATGAGGGAGCCCGCTCGGCCACTGATGAATCGGAGCACCGTGTTGGGGTACAAGGGGACAGCATTGAAACTTGTGCCTGTGTCTTTCCCAAAGGGCAGGTAGCGGCCCTTGTCAGTCACGAAAACCAGCTTCCTCAGGTAGTACTTGTACTTGCCAGACACCTGGATCACGGATTCTCCAGGGTGCAGGAAGATCTCCTCCAGGTCTCCCTGGGTGCCACCCACATAGTCGCTCCACACCTTGCCATAGCGCACCTGGAGCCTGGGGGCAGTGTGAGGAGGGAAGAAGGGAGGCACTGAGCATGGTGATCAGAATTCAGACCCCCCTTTGGCCTAGATGGTGAGACCTCCATGCCAGCAACAGGGATGACAAGTCTCCTGCTAGTCCCACGGTATGTGAGGGTTGGGTGAGCCCCTGAAGGTCATGCAGGGAACTTCAACTCACTTTGTTGACAAATAGGCTCACAGCGGGAAACAACTTAACCAGAATGTCCCAGACAGCAAGTGATATAGCTTGAACATGAAGTCTAGACTCCCACTGTGCCCCCACACCCACTTGAAAGAAGCAAAGGGATTTTTCAAACATCTGAATGGCTCCCATGAGGGAAGGGACTTGTCCGTGCTGTCCAAGGATGCAGATCTAGGATCAGAAGGACACAAATTTTGCAAAAGCCTTATGCATCTGGAGGGTGCCAGAAGGGATCCGAATCTTGGGAGATGGTTAAATGGCAACTTCCAGGCTCCTGAGAGTCATGGTATATGGCTGACCCAAGGGCACGTGTTGGGTTGTAGGAGTAGCAGCAGCACAGGTCTCAAATCCAGGTCTCTGACAACTTTCACATATGATGTTATCTCTGGGGCTTGTTGGTGGAAACATGTGTGACCCAAAGTGACAGAGAATTTCCCGATTCAGTAGGATCCTAGAGGGTTCCCAAACCACAGAAACTTACCCTACAATGTAGTATCTGTTGACTCGGATACGGATGGCGGTGATGGGGCCATCCATCTGGTTGCCAGAATGGGAGAATCGCTCTCCTCCACCACCACCATATTCCCCATTGTAGGAGGATGACCTAGCCTGAACTGGAGGGGAAAGGACCAATTGAAGGGAGAAATCCCCTGAGAGCTCAGTTTCTCCCCACCACCCCATTTCTCCTACAATTCACTTCCCACCATCCCAAGCCATCCTCTGAAACCTTGGCTGTCAGCAATGCAGGCAGCTGCCTTCCCATGACTCTAACACCAGGCTCCTGGCTTCTCACTTACTGGCACTGGCAGAGGCTGATGCACACAAAAGGGCAAGAAGAGCAATGGTCAACATTCTCAGGCTGGAGGGGGAAGAAAGGAGAAAGTGCAGGTTTACCCTTTTTCTTCTGAACTTCGCTTACCCAGGCATCCCTGACCTCCAGTTGAGGCTCAGGCTTCTTGGTCTGTCAAACCAGACCTAACCAACCCAGCCTTGGGCTTAGAAAGGATTATTCACAGTCTCCAGTCTGTTCCTCACAGATGCTATCTTCTGTGTCCTTACCCCCTCTGCCTTTCTCTGGTCTGGCTGTGGCAACCCTCTGCTTCTACCTCAAACTGGATCAGTCCCAGTCCTCTGTCTGGACTGAGCTCTGTTAAGCCCTATTCCCTGCTGGTGCAAAGCAGGAAAGGAGTTTTCTACAGAAGTGGAGGAGACCCCCAAATCTTAGAGATGGTCGAGCTTACCAAACCAGGAGTGGAGCAAGACCTAACTAAAGCCAGCCTGTGGCAGACTAGCCCAGTTTGCGGGGCATCAGGGGCATAGCATAAATTTTTAATTAACTTTGCCTTGGTTTCAGATCAAAAGGAAAGGAGCATTTTAGAGGTGTGTCTCTGTGCCACCCGAGGAGTGAATGTGGTAATGGAAGAGACCAGTGTCCCAGCAGTCCTTGGGGAAGCAGGACAGACTGAGAAGGTCCAGGACTTGGGACCATCTCAAGATAGTAGATCCCAGGCACCTGGTATATTTGTCACAATTCTTTCTCCAGTAACACAAATCTAGCTATATCCATTCCCCTGAGCCCCCCAGGTGTCCCCAGTCCTTCAGCTGAGACCGAGATAGCTTTATCCCAAGACTAGCTCAGATCCCGATGCTCCTGTTTGCTGACATCTAGTCTCCCCTGCCACTCAATCCAGGCAAGTTATTCTGCAGCTCAGCTTGAATTCCCCCAAATGTAAATCCAGGCATACCTGTCACCCCTAAACCCATGCCTCTGTCACCCCTCACCTGTCAGTTTCAGGTGCAAAGTAACTCCCCAGAAACTTCCAGCACTTTTATACCAGGTCCAAGCCCTGCCCCTCCTTTTAATTGTGTGAACCTCACCTCCTGAGCAAACATGATCAACCTCTTAGGGTCAGTTGTCAGGCAGAGTGTGGAACATGTTATCACTGCCCCTCCCCAAGGGTTACAGGTGGCAGAGTGGGGTCTGCTCTGGGCCAAGGCCTAGATCTCAGGGGAGGCAGAATAATCTTGAGAAAAGGTCACCAACCGAGGGACCAGCAGCTTTGGGTGGGTAAAATTATGAATCACCTCTGGGTGTGGTCTAGGGTTCTCCTCCCCTATTTGGATTCTCAGATGCTCTCACCTACAATCTGTCATCTTTCGGGATAACCACTGCCGTCTCCATGTATTTAAAATATTGATTATCCTAGAAAAGGGTTACACTTCCTACACCTTATACTTAGGAGTGCCAATTATTTGCCAGATATTTTTTTCTCTCTCCCGATAGTTTGTATGAAAAAAATTCGAACATATAGGAAATATGAAGAATTGTACAGTGAACACCCATATGCCCACCATGTAGGTTTTACCGTGGTTAATATTTTGCTGTACTTGCTTTTTTTCAGCTCTCCATCGTCAATCCACAGACTCTTCTGGGACCTTTTCTCTCTGAGAAGGGTGACATGGGGCTGCAGGTGGACACTGATCCCCCCTCTTGGGAACAGACAGAGTCAGTCCAGCAGGCAAGTGGGAAGCTGAGGCAGTAGGAGAGTAGTAAGTCCTCTCCCAGGGGCAGTTCTGGGCTCAGAATCCTCAGGACTCCTGGGCACAATGGCTGAATCCCCCTGGGGCTGTAGCATACACAGGACTATCACTTCTTCCTGTGGGTCTGAAACTTGCCAGGGCTGATGTCATCCATTTCTTCCCTTTGTAGGCCCTTCTCTTCCAGGATTCATCTTTCCCTTTCTGTCTTGATCTTTCCCCTGCAGCTCCTTCTCTGAGGTTTTTTCTTTATATCCCCTCTGTGCCTTTTTCCCTCTGCCTCTTCTCTTCTTTGTCTCTCCATCTCTCCAAAGCACTCTCTTTCTTTTATCCCTCCTCTTCCTTATTAAGAGCCTATTACACAGTGTGTCACCAAACACAGAAAGCTAAGATGGCAGGTCAGAGAGGTCCCAGGTGAACACCTTGGAGGAAGGCCCTCCCATTTCCATGTCAGATACCTCTAGGACCTTCAGAACAGAGGCTCACACACTTGTCAAAGGTTCACTGACACACTGACCCCACACATGAAGAAACCACAGTCTCTTTCATGCTGACACACTGGTCCCTGTGTTCCCCACAGCAGACCTCAGTCCTCTCTCAGACGGCAAGAGATGCCTTCCCTCTTGTGTGTGGGGGAGTGGGGCGGGGGTTCGGTCTCAGCGTGCATCCTCTGTGGATCTCAGAGACAAGGAAGGCAATCAGCTAGCTAATGAAGGGACATCTGGGGTTTGCCAGAAGGAAGGAGGACCAAGGGGCACCTCTGCTTCTCCTCATTAGCTCCTGTCTGAACTGTCCCACATTTCACCCAGGGGCTGGCTGAGGGCCTACTGGCCCCAGACCCTGAGGCAGTTAAAGTCCAAAGCCATCGAGCTTTCCACTACTGCCAAGCAGCTTACCTCCTCTGCCACCCTGGCAAAGCAACTCACTCAACAGACGGTTATAGAGCATCTCTACATTGGAGGCACTGTTCTAGATGCTGGGGAGCTGCAAGGAGGAGGAAGAGTCAAACCCCACGTCTGGGGACCTCCAGTCCAGCAGGAGAGGCAGGCGATGCGCCTCCGCGTTGGCGCAGAGCAGTAACTTACTCTGAGGCAGTAAGCCCGCAGTGAGAGTAGATGGTTCTGCTCCGTAGCATCTGCCACGAGACCTGACTGAATGATGGAGACTCAGATACCTGGGTGAAGAGTGCCAGGCAGAGGGCTCAGGCAGCCCTGAGTGGAAGGTGTGTGGGATGAATTAGAAACAGCAAGGCGTCAGACTGTGCTGTGAAGGAAGCCGTGGGAGCTGCAGCCTGTGGGCAGATGGTGCAGGGCCTAGGATGCCAGGTCAGGGCTTTGGAGTCTTTCTGGGAATTAGGGAAGCCAGTGAAGGGTTCTGCCTGTTCAAAGGCTTATTTGCTCTGGATTCTGTGGAGAATGGGCTTGGGGCTGGGCGAGAGGTAGCAGGAGTGTGTGAACCTTTCCCGTTTCTCTGGCGCCTCTGCCCTCCCGGTCTGGATGGCTTGAGAGCTACTCCGTCTCTCTAACAAAGCAGCTCATCCTCTTCTCAAGGTCTTGGCGCAAATTCTAAGGATGAGAATCTGCTCCTTCACCCCATCAAGGATCTTTCAAAATATATTTCTAAACAATGACACGTCTGCTTCCTGTTAAGGAAAAAAAAAGTTCTCTACCTCCTCATTTACACACTGGGACTCCATGGCAGTTCATTTGAACAAAGGGTTTTACTGCAAAACAAATGTGAATATTGCTTTTCTGTTCACCTGTCGCTGTTCCAATGCATAAACTAAAATCTAGTGAGAAGTGACTTCAGTAAGTTGCAAAGACAGCCCCTCCACTTCCTCCCCTCCTATCCCCAGCCTCACAGACCAGCCTCTACAGTACCCTACAGTTTGTTGACCTGCTTCAGCTGCCTAAAATGCTATCCTCCTGCCCCCCTTAAGACATCAGCCCATCCAACTTGCTGCATTGATGGACAGTGACTGCATTGGGGTATGGGTAGGGACTTGATAATGTGGGTGAATGTAGTAACCGCATTGTTTTTTCATGTGAAACCTTCATAAGAGTGTATATCAATCAAAGCTTAAAAAAAAAAAGACATCAGCCCATCCTCAAGTCCACTGCCTCCCCTTGCATCCACCACACCCCCTGCACCCACTACACCCCCCTGCATCCACCACTCCACTCCCCTGCACCCACCACAGCCTCCCTGGACCCACCACCACCTCTCTGCACCCACCCCAGAGACTTACCTCACATTGTCCAGGTCTCTTTTCTTCCTAGCCCCTCCACTTCAAACAGAATTCATTGCTCCTTTCTCCGGCCTCCAGCTGTGTTTCTTACATGATGTATGGTCCTAATTACCCTGCACTGCAATTTATCTGTTTACATGCCAGCCTGCTCTTCTAAAGCTGGAGCCCATTCCAAGGCAGGGACTGCATCTTATCCATCCTGAATCTCAGCTCCTGCACCCCACCTGGCACAGAGCAGGCAACCCATAAGGACCTGACAAATGCCTAGGCTGCTGGGAGGCTGCCCATAAATGCCCCTCCTTCGTCTTCTCACGCATCTGTGTCTCTTCTCACAGGGCTGCATTTGGGTTTTCTTTAGTTTCTTATTTGCGATTTCTCTGGAGAAACTGTATTCCGAAGAATACTGGACATAAAGACAGAATTCTGGGGTGAGGTCCTCCATCCAACACTTAGCTGTGTGAACTTAAGTCACTTCATTCCCTGGAGCCTCTTATTTCTGCATTTGTAATATGAGGAAAATAGGTCTCCAAGTCAACCAAAAGCCTCAATGATAGTGTTTTGCAAACTGTAGGTTTTAACCTGCTACTGGGCCATGAAATTAATTTAATAGCTCTAGACCAGCATATTTAAAAGTAGGATAGAAAAGAAAATCAGAGAGCATTTCATGTAAAAAAGGCTAATATTATTTCCTAAAATACTGTTTCAGTTAAATACTCTATACTGTGTGTACTTGGTCAAAATATAAAATATTATTTCCTATTGTGAACTGCAGTTTAGAAAAAAACAAAATCCTTTAAAAATTAAACTCTTCCTCTCGGCAAAGGGTAAGGTTCTTTATATATCAACACTCTTAGTTAGAAACTGTCAGGCTAGCAGTGGATTAGGACACCTCTAGGGCAGTAACTAGAGTGGCTCTGGAGACCCAGACTCAGGGCAGGTAAGTATACATTGTTAATCATTTTTTAAATTGAAATGGAATTGACATATAACATTGTATTAGTTTCAGGTATACAATGTAATGATTTGACATATGTATATATATTGCGAAATGAGTTAGTCATTTTTGAAGTCAGAAACCTACAGTAGTGTACCAATAATTCACCTACAGGATGTTGTCTTCTGAGAGACATGACTTAAAGTCTTGTTCCAGCCCCTATTCGCTTCATGACCTATTGAACTTCAGGTTCTTCACATGTAAGTTGGAGATAGAGACCAACCAATTTTTGTCAACTTTCTGGCATAGGTGTGGCACATGTCAGATCCTGAGTAAATATTTATTCTCTTCTCCTCCAGATTTTCACCACACATGGCCTTTCTTTTCAGTCTCTCAGATACAATTGATCTGGGCAGCCATTATCTTTCTCCTCTGCAGTTAGCTTTATTTTAGGGGTTAGCTTCAGTTCAGATCCTGAACATCTTGCCAAACACATCTTGAAAAAGAATTTTGTGTAGACTGGTCTGGACACTGATGTTAAAGTCCCTTGGGAACCTGGCTTTAATTTCCTTTTCAGCCTGCACACATCTTACTGAAATGCTTGATCAACTGCAACTTTTTTCTTTGTTTAGTTAATTTTTACTTTGTTTCTTTTATTCATTTTCCTCCTCTGAAAGAATAGTCACTCTCCAGAGCACACAACAATATAATGATCAAAGGGATGAAGTCTCCACCTGAATTGTCCAAGTTAGCCACATCCACCGTTCATATATGCTGGATAAGCTATCAAAGTGGGCACCATGGAATGATGTCACAAGGATGCACTCATTCTTTGTGTCAGGAAGAATTCATCTAAAAAAATAAGTAGACAAACAGAGATTAAAGATGGTGGCATGAGAGGTGAGACACAGGCTTCCTCCTAAAACCGCATATAATACAATTAATCCTGAAAGAGCAACAGGAAAGAGGACTGCGCTAAACTGCATACACCTGGAGAAAAGAATAAACCTCATGGAACAGGGTAATGTACAAAAGCAGTGGCCTGGGGGAACCCAAGCCCTTCCCCCACCCCAGTTCACTGGCGGG